TTTTTTCCTGCTTGGCATTTTATAGCATTTATTGAATCTGTGTATTGTTCATGTCTTTATCAGTTTTAGAACATTCTCAGTTATTCTCTCTTCAAATATTACTTGCTTCCTCTTCTCTCCATATCCTACTTTGAGCCTCTAAATGCATATTAGAACTTTTTATTGTGTCCATATATCTTTTATATTCCTGTCTGAATTTTTCATCTTCTTTGCTCCTCATGCTTCAGCCTGGATATTTTCTACTCAAATTCTCTCTTTTATTGGGTCCAATCTACTCTTAAATTCATCTATTGAGTTCTTCATTTTAATTATTGACTTTGTAGTCTAAGAATTTTCATTCAGTTGGTTTATTTTTAATAGATTCCAGCTCTCTATAGATTTCCATTTATTCATGAACACAATAATTACAATTATTTTTCAGCTCATATCTGATAATTCAAATAACTGTACCATAAGTATATTATCTATAGGTCTGTTTCTATCATCTATTTTTCCTTTGGTCTTATTTATTAGTCTACTTGATAAATCTTGATTCAATTGTGAACAAATGTACATAAAAATTATAGAGACTCTGTATGGCCACATGTCTCTCTTATGGAAGTTTTCCCTATCCTTTGTTGTGCTGCCTGAGTAGGTGCAGATTGCCATGATTGAGTCAGGGACAGAACTCACCCAAACCTGGATTGCAGTTTGCGTTAGCTTCAGACTGTTTCTGGCTCATCCTAGGTTGTAGCTCTGAGGGACTTACTATGTGTCATCTTCCTTGGCGGGGTCTGATATCTGACTTTTGTCTCCTTAGCATGGTGAGACTGCCAAAACCTCTGCTGTGATTTTCAAGGGCTTTCTGCCTAACTTATTCTCTTGTCTTATGCAGCTTAAGAACTCGGCAAACATACCGAGCAGGTATGTTACAGAGTGTCTGGCTTGCTTCTCTGTGCCTCTCTCCTCTCCGGAAGTTTGACCATGAGTCCTGGGTACCTTTGCAGCCCTAAACCCCAATCTTTGTTACTTTAGCACTGTGAGATTACCAAAAGCTATGCAAGCTTCTTTGCCCTTAGCTGTGTGCCTCTGCTGGCACTATCATCCTCTGCCCCAGCCAAGAGTTGGCAAATGCTTTGAGGGGCAAAGTGCTCATTGATTTCAGGTCACTCCTCTGCAGTTCTCTTCTCTGAGATCTCAGCTTCTCGAGTTCCAACTGCCTTACCAGCAGCTCTCCAATACTTTCAATAAAGTTTTTAAAAAATTTTAGATAGTATTTCAGGTTGTTGTTGGCTGGATCATTGATCTGCCACAAGTTATAACATTTTAGCCGGAAACAGAAATGTCTGTTTTACCTTTTAAAATGATCCCTCTGGGGCCTACTGATCTGGTCATTTGCAATTTTGAGGTCATATTGCATTAATAGTCACTAAATCTATGTTTGTTTTGTTTGATTTTGGTTTTTTACTCATTCTGTTAGATAAATTCTACTAAACACCCCAATTTAGCATTGGTTAAAATCATTTGAGGATGATAGGTTCTTCCCCAAAGACTAATTTGTTGAAGATAAATTAATTGAGATCCTACTCCATAATGTGAAAGGCTTTGTACGGATATAAGAGGGTAACATGGGCAAGAGACCTTCATTTATTTAGGAATCTTTGGTGTACATCGGCCATAAGCAGAGTTGTGAAATAGACAAGCTATGTCTCCACGGCACCTGCATCCCCCTTCTGTACTGTTTGGGCACCTCCTCGCTAGGTCCCCAATGCCCAGTGCAGTTCAGCCTGGCAGGCAGGATGCAGCATTGCCTTTCCTGGGTATGGCCAGAGACCCATGCTTCAGACCCGACACCTTCCCAATGCTTTTCTGATGAAACTTAACGCTCCTTTGTTTATCCCTCGGACTCTTGCTTTCCCTAAGGTCAGTCCCACAGGGCAACCGAGGCGACCGGCTGGCTGTATGTGCTACGGGACCTAGAGTCAGTCTACATATTAATCAGCAGCTTGTGTCAGTCAGTTGGAGACTGATGTCAGAGAAAGCACCTTTTCCTTGGTCTCTGGTCCTTTTGTGGTTCTATCCAATGAACATTCATCCCTCAGTATCCATGGAAGGTTGGTTCCAGGACCTCCTGAAGATACCAAAATTCACAGATACTCAAACCCCTGATGTAAAATGGTGTAGCATTTGTATATAATTTATGCACATCCTCTTATATACCTTAAATCATAACTAGATTATATATATAATATCTAATATTATGTGTATGCTATGAAAATAATTGTTACACTATATTGTTTAGAGACTATTGACCAAAAAAGTCTGCACCTGTTCCCTACAGATGCAATTTTGTTTTTCCAAATATTTTTTTATTGCATTTGGTTGAAGCCACAGATGTAGAACCCATGACTAGGGAGGGCTGACTGTGATAGCACTGGGCACGAGGAGACCTAAAATTTGTGCTTTTTTCACCTGTCGAATGGGGTGGTCACATCTGCCCTTTCTTTATTGCCTTGCTTTGAAAATAAATGAAAACAGATGAATTTGAACCACACAAACTTTTTGACTCCCACTGGTTTTATAGATTTGAAAGTGTGATAAAGCATTTTTGAACTCCCAAGAGAAATGTGGTTTATCCAATATGTTATTGTAATGGCAAAGTTTGTCATAGTTCAGAATAGGGTGCTATCAAAAGTCAACAGAACTGGAAAAATATAAATCATGCTTGGTAAAAAAGAAAATCACTAGCTTAGGAACACAGCATGAGAAAGTGGTGATATTTCAGACTATTTATTCGTTATTAACTGACTGCTGTGTAAATGGATTTTCTAATCTTCTAATCCTGAGCTCATGGTCACTACAGTTCTAGGATGTGACAGAAAAACATGACCTGCTTTTATGACAAGGTAGCAAGGGGAAGGAGAGGGAACAGTGCCCTAAAAACTTAATACCACCTTCAGCTAAGCTTGAGTTTCAGGTTTTTCCTCCAGTTGTTTCCATAGTTTCACTTTCTAGGGAATAAAATAAGAGAATGCTGACTCTTCACAGCATCTCTCATGCCCTTACTTGTCATCATCTCACATTTACTGAGCAACTTTATCGCAAGGTTGCTCCCTCACAGGGGGTTCTCTGAACAGCCTGTTTCACTTATTAGCTGCATTGCCCCGCATAAGACACATAGGGCATTGTGCCTTTGGTCACCACTGAAATGAGGATAATTGGCCCTTGTCTTGGCTGGCCGACAAAGTGTTCATGAGACTTAAATGAACAAGGAGATAATAAGTATTTTGTAACATCTGAGGTCTTATTAAGGACCTTGATGGATAGATACACCTTTCGGACTAGGCAGAGTATGAGAAGGCAAATTAAAACATCATTGGTTCAGTTATTTTAACTATTAGAATGAATAGAAATACTATAATAACTGTCCACAGTTTCATACCATGTGCTCTTTCTACCACTGGGCGCCGCCATTAACTCAGCCTGAGAAATGATAAATAAGTTCATAATGATAATAATGCTAACATGGAATTGCAGGGTTTTGCATGATCTTGAAAGTCTGGGATTGATACTGTCCTTACCAACATCAGTCCTTAAACTGGACCAAAATGGCAGTGTGGACTGTGCTATCTGATGGTAAATGGAAACTCTAACCTGGCTCAAGCTGTTGGCCTCATTTAGTCTTCTCCAGGTCCCTCATCCTCAAATCTCTCCAACTTGTAGCCATCATGATCATCTTCATCTTTATCTAACACTTCAAAGGTGTATACAATGTATCAGGGGGCCTTGCGAGTACTTTACATATGAGAATTCACTTAATTCTCTCAACACTCTCCTTTTAAAGATAAGGAGACTGAGGCCAGGGAGGTTGAGGGACTTGTGGAGGTTCCTACAGCCAGCAGATTGTAAAGCAGGGATTTAAACCAAGGTAGTCTGGGCCCAGAGTACCTGTCCTAATAGTTCCGTGCACTGCCTGTTTGGCGTTGGTGTACATGCCTGGTCCCAGGGTTCTGGGCCATAATTCTGAAAGATACAATCTTGATTGCCATAATCCTGAATGTTGAAAATCCTGAAGGATCAAAATCCCAAAAAACGGAACGTTAGGATTATTCAGGATCATGGTGCTCGGTGTTGTCTTTCGGGATTCTGATTGGCACTGTGTCCCAGGACTCCCCAGAGAGATGAAAACTTTCTAAAAATCTGCATCCACTCCCTTGAGGGTTTGAGGAATAGCAAGATTCCATTCAGGAGCATTTTCTTGGTACTAATAACTTCTCTCCTTCCGATTTCTGTTTCTCTCAAACAATCTTCCCCTTCCTTAGGGTGCGTGAGGTGGACAGGGACTTTGGGAGGAGATGCAGAGCCATCAGGACTGGCCACACTGGGGACGTGCGGGGCCTCAGCACCACGGGGTTCTAGGAGGGGCACCGGACACCTTTCTAGAGGAGGAGGAGAGGCCCGGGCAGCCAGGGCCTGGTCTCCAGGAACTTCCCCCCCTGCAGGCTCACCCTCTCCAGCCAGATGGAGAGGCGGGACAGCAGGAAAGCAGGGCTTCTCGTAACTGACCAGAGAGGCAGGCCAGGCCCACTTTGGTTCTACAGGCCACTGCTGTGCCCTAAGCAGCTGGCAAAAGGGGGCAGGCCACCCCGGCCTCAGCTGGATGGGAGGGGCTCATGTGACTCAGATCATGCAGACACCAGAGACCCACCTCCCCCCAGCCCTGCCCTGGGCAGAAAGAGGGGACAGGTGCAGGATGGAGCAGATGAAACCCGAAGCCTCACCTTTGTGGCCCATAGTCAACAACGGGGAGTATGTGATATAGGTCCATGCCCTAAAGATACTGGTGTGTGTGTTCTGACTTGGGACCTACCAGGGGAGGAGGATATCGGTGAGTGGATCCAGCTGAAGAGAGTCAGGGATGGTATAAACAAAGGGAAAGGATAGAAACCGGCACACACGCGAACTTGTGTTTGACACCTTGCCAGTTCTACCTAACAATTTCTGCCCATCTTTTCTACCAGCAGTGTCCTGGTTAAGCGGATGTTCAGGCCCATGGAAGAGGAGTTTGGTCCAGCGCCTTCTAAGCAGATGAAAGAAGAAGGGATGAAGCGAGGTATCTCTCCAGTTGGGTGTGCCCTACCACCGTGGTGTTGGGTCCATCGAGGAGCCTCCCAGCAGGGATGGGGGGCGTCTTACCAAGAGGAGCTTGCACCCAGGCCCCCTGCCAGGCCCCTGTGGCTCCCTGCCAGCCCGGTGACTTTTTTTGCACACAGGAAGTCCTCAGTCTTCCCCTTTGCTTTACACTCTGTCCTTTTAAGCACCTTAAGTAAAATGTTTATTCTGCCCGGGGTTCTTCCCTTTGCCTTGGGAGAAATGGAATGAACACACTGACTCATCTAGCAGCAAGATGCAAGGTTAAAAAGGAACTCTAGCTGTGCGTGTGACAATCACACCACAAAGAACCAGCAATTGAGACTCATTCAGTAGATGCAAACGATTCATCCCACACAAGTAAGTGAGCCTCAGGTTTCTGTGACATCACCACTTACTCATTTTCTCTCAGTCAAGGGTCTTACCCCACTTCACCAAGAGGGATAGAAACAAAGCCTGGGCATGTCGATGTCTGGCCCAGCGTGTCAGTGGGGTTCACTGTCCTTCCAGGAGTAAGAGGGAGGACCACATCTTGCTGCAGCTGACACTGAGGCCTCCAGAGACTGTAGACTGACACAGTACTGGACTTGCAGTGAGTCAGCTCACCATGCTAAATATGCCCACTGTCTGCACAAGCGTCAGTTCTTTGTTACTGAGAAATCTTTTTTATTTTTTCCTATTTGCTATAATGGGATTTGCATAATTATTTGCATAATGAATGGTCTAGAGCAGCCCCTCTGCAGCCTCTCAGGGTTGAGTGACTTAGGAAAGGGTCTGCACCTTCTGCTCCTTGGAGTCCTCCTCTGTAAAATGGGGGTGGCAGGAGAACCTGCCCCAGAGTCGCGGTGAGGAGGGATGAGTTAACACACGTAAGCACCTAGCACACCCGGGCGCTCCAAGTGCACTGTTAGAACAGTTAGTTTTATTATTAGGCCTCTATGGAGTTAAGTTATGTCTTCATAACACGTATAAGTAATTAGGGTTTCAGGATGGAAAGAACATAAATGCATAAGTGTAACATTAGCAACATTTAAACGTTTAAAAGTCTTTCTGACGCTGCAGCTCACTGTCAAATATTTGAGTGCTCGGGAACCCACTCCTGGGTGCCTGCTTACTCGCTAGAGTCAGGGCAGTTACGCGGAGTGCAGGAGTCACAGGGCTTGCCTCCAGAGTTGGTGCCCGGTAGTTAGTCCGAGGCTGTGTTTTTCAGATTATTTTGAGATTGTGAAGCCAGCACAAAATTTGCCACTGGCCGTTGTATGGGGCTGTGATTTAAAATAAGGCCTTTGGGCTGGGCGCAGTGGCTCATGCCTGTAATCCTAGCACTCTGGGAGGCTGAGGCAGGCGGATTGTTTGAGCTCAGGAGTTCGAGACCAGCCTGAGCAAGAGCGAGACCCCCGTCGCCACTAAAAAAAAATACAAAAATTAGCCGGGCATGGTGGCGCATGCCTGTAGTCCCAGCTACTCAGGAGGCTGAGGCAGGAGGATCGCTTGAGCCCAGGTGTGAGCTAGTCTGATGCCACAGCACTCTAGCTAGGGGCAACAGAGTGAGACTCTGTCTAAAAAATAAAGAAATAAATAATAAGGCCTTTGAAACATGGATATCGTAGAGACACATGAGGGCGCTGTAACCCACCAGCACTGGAGAAAAGGTTCCCTCAGGGGCATCTTTCCTTTGGAAAAGGACAGTAGGGTTACTGAGCCCTTTGCTTGGAGCTGAGCTTTGAAGAATGTACAGAATCAGGGGCAGTGACTCCCCTTCTCATTTATTTGTTAGAAGTCACTCGAGAGAAAATGATCGTAATTATCACCAGTGTCATCACTGTTCGTTGTTTTGCCTTTGTAGCCCTTTGTCAGGGTGGTCGGTGGGAGTCGCTTAGGGGCCGGCCCGGGCAGCTGGCTGCCTTTGGCTGTGCAGTGTGTGGGGCGCGTGACGGTGGTTCTTGCTACCGTCGCAGAGTGATTACTACGATTGCTGTGCTACACACGCAGAGTTAATGAAAGCTTGCTCCTGGGACAGGCATGGGGGTGTGCTGTGAGCCCAGCACGCTGGCGTGTGGCTGTCAACAGGCCCAGTGGGAGGATGGTGGAGCTGCCCCGGCACTTCTCCCGTGGCTCGTGACTGGCTCCATACCTCCTTTAACACGTGCTAGCCACACCGGAAGCAACAGTAGCAGCAGTATTATTTTAAAGGCAGTGATTTCAAAATAAGAGATTGATAAATCCAGTGGCAGCAGCACTCATTTTATAGTAGAATATGGTTTGGGGTTTCCTTAGGGTCAGCCTGCTGGAGATTACTGGGTTTTCCCCCCACTATTGGCTGTAGGAAAAGTTATGGAATATTCATCTGTAGCAGCCACTAATGCTCTTTTTTTCCTTGACTTTAATTATCCTTATCTGGATGTAATTGAGGTCCTATATTCTAATTATTTTTCCTTGTACCCTAACATTGAGTCCTCTTATTATAGCCATTAGGTCATTAGTTCATTTCAGCTGAAATGGAGCCTATAAAATATTCCTTCCTAGGAACTAAATTTGGAAATCTTTGGAGATAATGTTCAATCTATTTATTTAATTGGCACTTTACTTTTATATTTGGTTAAGCGAAGAAACTCTGCAATACTTAAGGATTTTTTTCTTTCTTTTTTTTCATATGCTAACTGAACACCCACTGGCTGCAGAAAGGAAATGCAGGCAGGAGCCCCTGTGGCTTCTGTACAGCAGGCAGCTTTAATGAAGTCCCTAATGAGTTTGGGTAGAGCTGATTTCATTTTCTACCCCCAACTTTGTTATTCCAGTTGATGGTAATTGTAGCCCTATTGATGTCAGACCATTGTTGGGTTCCAGACTCAGCGGGGTTTTTGATCTGTGCATTTTTCTTAGATGGCGAGACACGTGGGCTTCAGACTCAGCCGTCTTCCCTCCCTCTGAAGGAAGCATCAGAAGTCACATCACTGGCAGGAGGGGGACAGGAAGGGCAGCATCTCACTGGGGCTGAGGGCATCTTAATGGCAGGTCCAAGTTGTTTCCGAGAGCTGAGCTACAATGTAGCCGCTATAAGTATGGGGACAGGCAGGGAGGGCACTGGCCAGCAGGAGGGACAGCAGCCAGCAGCTGTCAGTCTGTGGGACCCCAGGAGAGTGTCTCAGCCTCTCTGAACCTCAGCGTGCACATCTCTAATAACAGCTGGAGTCCCAGGCCTTTCTCATGTTCTGGGCATTCTCAGACTCAGGAGGTTGTTTTGCAGAGAAATGAGTAGAAAAGCACTGAGGTCACTAGAACCTCAACTGCTTCATCCACCCTTTCAGGACGGTGCCTGCTGTGTGCAGGCCCTGTGCTCAGAATGCCACGTGGCTGTCACCCCATTTACCCCTCACGGCAGCCCTGTAAGGTGGAGACAACCATCCTGCTTCACAGAGCCGAGCGAGGCTGGGAGAGGTTAAGTGAGCGGAGCCCACAGCAAGCCTGAGCTCTGGGGCCAAACCAGACCTGTGGGACTCCACACCCTAAACCTCTTCCTCTCCCCTTGCCAGTTGGTGCCCTGTCTCCCTGCGGGGCGTGCACACAGGCTGGTTGTCAGCCTGGAGTTTGCCCTCCCCATTCTCGCTCTCCCTCGCCTGCAGGCCTGATGCCTACACGCCCCTCAGAACTCGGACCTCCTTCAAGGTGACCTTCCTGGAGCTTCCCACCCCCATGAGGGCAAGGCCAGGCCCCAATAAGGACTCTCTCGTGGCGTTTTCCTTCGTAACTGTGCGTCTGGCTGTCTGTGTGTTTGAGGAAGGCCTGCCCCTCTCCGTGGACCGCACACTCCTATGGGCAGGGCGATGACTTACCAACTCCCTGCTGCAACCCTGGCTCGCGGCACACACAACCTGCGGGCCCGGGTGGGGGGCATCAGTCATATTTGCCGAGTGAACAAATAAATAGAATAAGGGGGCTGCAGAAAGAGATGTCATAAAGATATCATGGACCCACGCTGAGAAATTCAAGTGTAAACATAAGTGTTGCCCAATTGTCGTTTATCTCCCTGAATGCTCCGTACCTGTTTCTAGTCACCTGATGTCTGTGGAGGTGTCTCAGTCACCTTTGTAGGATGTCAGCTGGACAAGGGGTCCCAGGCCCAGCAGGTGGCGCCAGCCTCGGACACCTGTGTGGCAGAAGGCGGTCCCGGTGGCTGCAGAGCTGTGCGCCCCCTCAGTCTCACGGCTCCCCCTCTCTTCCAGTGCTGCTGTACGTGAGGAAGGAGACTGACGACGTGTTTGATGCTCTGATGCTGAAGTCACCCACGGTGAAGGGGCTGATGGAAGCGGTAAGTGATAAGCCCATTCGGCCTCCAGGAGACCTGCGGGTGTCCTCCTCCTCTGCAACCCGTTCACTTAGAGTGCACCACCGAGATGGCTCCAGTGTGCGCTTTATAAAGAACAAGGAAAACCTGAGATCTGTGGAGATCTCTGCACTGTCGAGGCTTATTAGCATTTTAAAGAGAAGAAAAATGAAAAACTGCCAATTCCCTGTCAGTTTAAGGCTAATAATCACAGCAAGGTGCTGTGGAGGAAGGTGAAACTGTGAGTTCTCATTGGTCTCTTTGCATGAAACCAGATTAGATACGTTTAACTTCCAAATATATACAGAACAAAAACAATTAAGAGATGAGTTGCTAGTTGTGATAGTGTAATCCAAAATAAACTATGACCTCTTGGTTAAGAAAAAAACATATTGCAGAATTATGGTGATGTGGGGTAAGATTCTTCCCTTCCCACCCCTGGTCTAGTCTACTATTACCCAACTTGGGCTTAGGAGAAGTTATTTTATGTTTTATTTACATAGTATCCACCTGAATATAACTTTAATATGACTCTACTTTGAGTATAATTTCTAAGTGCCTTGTACCTTCCCCCCCGACACACACACACCCCATGCAGCTATGTTGTACAAGATCTAGGTTTTTTATAGTGATAGAGACAACAGGACTGCCAGGGACAAAGTCCAAAATTGTTGGTTGGTTTAGAAAACTGCTCCAGCATCTTGGGTTATGAGAGTTAAACATTGAAATATATAGGACAGTTTCTATATGTGGAATCATACAATATGATTTCTTTCATTTAGGATACTTTATGGAAGTTCATCCATGTCATATTATAAATTAGTACTTAATTCTTTCTTATGACTGAACAATATTCCACTGCATGCATATGTCACATTTTGCTTTTCCATTCATCAGTTGATGGACATTGAATTTTTTCCATCTTTTTGCTATTGTTAATAGTGCTGCTATGAACATTCATATACAAGTTTTTGTCCGAACACCTATTTCCATTTCTTTGGGGTATATACTGAGTCATGGAATTGATGAGCTAGACACAAAAGACCACATATGGTACAATTCAGTTTATAGGAAGTATCCAGAATGGGCAAACCCATAGTGACAAAAGGCAGGTTAGTGTTTGCCAGGAACTGGGGCAGGAGATGGAGCAACTGTTCGATAGGTTTTCTTAAGGAGGAATGAAAATGTTTTAAAATTAGAGGTGATAGTGGCACGGGATTGTGAATTGTGTGATTATATATATTAACCACTTCGGTACGAGTGTTGACTATAGTCGATAGCCACAGCTGAGCGTGGACTTCAGCCGACAGCCGTGATATGAAGGCACACAGCTGAGCGTCAACTTTAGTCTATAATTTTGAATTGACTTTTCTAATTTTTCATTTATCAAAATAAAATTGTGAACATTTAGCCCTTTGCACTCGCTTGCTTTTTTCTCATTGTCCACTTGACATTATCCACACTCGACATCCGAGTGCAAAGGGTTAAAAGTAACGTAATGAAAACATACATGTATATGTTATCTATTCTGATTTACATTACAAGTAAAGCTGCCTGTAAAGTAAAACAAGCTTTCAGTGCTTTCAAGCTTTCCTCATCACACAAGAGCAAAACGGATTCATCGTCAATGCACAGCACAAACTACCGTGCGGACTATGAGTGCCGGCTGTGGGCAAGGTTTCGCAGCTGGTGAGTGCCGTACCGAGTGGTTAAAAAGTATTCAGCGTTCATCAGAAAAAAATTTTTTTTAAATGCATAGGAATGTTAGCAGTGCAGGTGTGGTGCTGCCTCCTGGGATTGCATTGTCCCCAGGCAATTCTGAGCAGAGCATCAAGGACCACCCTCTAAGAAACACTGATAGAGGACTAGGTAATCTTTTCTGTTCCATAGGAGTTTTCAATGTAATGGAGTTTGCTGTTATTGAACCTGCCTCACATAAAGAAAAAACAAAAATGGAAATCAGTGCAACAGAAAATATGATCTATATCTCTTCAAATGAACCAATATTTTAAAAATGACCCTAAAATTGCCAGAGGATAGACTGAGCTAGAAAAATCTGTACAATGTTCAGACTTCTCTGGGCAACTTTGGACAATTTCATGCCCTGATCTGGCCTTTAAGATCATATTACTAAAGCTGACTTAGCTGGGAGAGTGAATATGAAAATTACAGAAACAATTGCTTAAATGCATATCCTCTGACCTCAACTGCAGAGATTCTGATCCTGCTGAATGGGAGCTGGAGTGGGAGTGGGAGTGGGGATCAGGAACCTGCATTTTTAATAAGCTCTTCAGCATATTCTGAGATAGGCTAGGTGTGAGAACCTCTGAGCTAGACCAGTGCCGAACTGACTGCCCTATGGTCCTTCCTTTTTCCTTGGTGCTTTTTCTTGCCCTTCATGACACCTGGCCAGTTCTATAGGTGTTCTGCAAATATGGTCTCGCTGGGCCACAGCAGAGCTACATGTCACCTTCACTCCCACCCAAACAGCAGCTCAGCAATTCTGCCCACGCTCCCCACCACAGCAGCAACTGGTTGTTGATCCGTTTTAGGGGGAGCTCATTACACCTGCCCGGCTTTGGTTAGCTGAAGTAGGGAGTGGTGGGGTGGGGGGAGTAATGCATAGTATCCTTTGGCCCTGTAGCCTTGGTGAAGTTAGGTTCCCTAGGCTGGCTCTGGTCAGATTTCTTAGGGCTATTTTGACTTCATCTCTCCTTTAAGTCTGGAAAGAAAAGGTTTTATTCCAACACCAACACAAGCTCTCTCCTTGCTTCCTAAGTTGTGCAAATGGGAAAGCAGGACAAGAGAAGTTCCTGTAGGACCCGAGCTCAGGTGATGCAGTCTGGCGGTAAGCTGCAAAGGAATGACATAGCAACCCCTGAGACTTGGGGGCAGCCGTTCAGGACACCAGGCTCTGTTGCAGCAAAGAGTCAAGCACACCGTGAAATGAGATGAACCCTGGGTCCTGCTCCCTATACCTGTACCCTAGGTTTATTTGGTACCTGGGTGGAGTAAGAAAGGGCTCCTTCCGGGAGTGAGTTCTCTGAAGAACAGGACCTCACTAGTGTCACCACACTGACACTTAACAATACACACTTGTTTATATAACATAAACGTGTATCTATATTGGTATATATACATATGTATTGGTAATAACTATATGTGTGCATAAAGTAAAACCAGTATACACATGTATATGTAAACAGTGTAGCTTAGGGGGTCAGCATGCAGGCTTTGGCTTCGGAAAACCTGTATTTAAATTCCAACTGTGCCCCTTACTAGGTGGACAATTTTCTTAACCTCTTCTTCATCTTTAAAATGGAAATAATACTTAACTCACGGGGTGGTTGTGAGGATTAAATGAGACTATATAGGCATAAACTCTGCCTGGCCTCTGGTATACACCAAGTCCCTGGCTAAGATCAGCCTTTGTCACGACATCCTTGTTTTGCGTAGGAATCAGCGCTGGGGAGGACACAGTGTGAAGACTTCTTCCTCCTGTTCCTGAGATTTTGAATTTCTCAAATACTCATTTGCCTACTGTCCAAAAGATAGGAAGTTATTTTGGCTTGTGATTCCTTTATGTAATATCCCACCAGTTTGGAATTTTGGAGGAGGCACAGGGCGGTGGCGGTGCCCCGGGTATCTGGCTCTGGAACTGCAGGCGCCGCGTGGGCAGCCCTCTCCTGAGGTAGGGGCGGAAGGCTGCTCCTGAGAAATGATCTTTGTGCTCCATAGCCAGGACCCCACAGTCAGCAAAGTCTTAAAACAAGAAGTCAAGGTGACCCTGGCCTCCACGTTTTGTTTCAACTCCTAATTTCAAAGTAAGATCATCCTGTGTAGGGGGTTACATTTTTTAACAACTAAAAGTTCCATACAGAGAAAAAAATGCTCATTGAGTAGGAAAGGGAAAAAAACCTAACCAGAAAGGAAAGTTGTTTAATGAAGAGGTATTGTGCTTGACCTCAAGCCATGACTTTGAACCCTGTCACAGGTTGAAAACGGCTTCCCATAAACTCCAACGCAACCCCCTACTCCTTACTGTAGAGCTAAGGCATTGCTTCCCCAAGTGGCCCCGCCAGATCCCCTGGGTGACGTTTCAAAGATGCCATCCCAGAACCCCACCCCTCAGCTTCAGAATCAGACTCTGAGGGCAGGCACAGGAATCAGCATTGGTGAGAAACTCCCGGTTGAATTGAGGCACACTGAGGCTCGAGAGCCACTGGCTGGTGTGTGCCTTGGGTGGGAACTGGTGTTAGGCTCTGACTCTGTCCTAAGCTCCCACATGCACGCTCACTCGTGGGCGTATTGGGAATCGGCTGCCGTATTCTAACTCTTTTGGGGCCGAGTCTCTGCAGAGGTAGTTTTAAGCCAGGAAATAGCCTTACATTCTGTTTCATAACCCATCCCTGTGGATTTTAGCAGTTGGCCCGGGGTCTAGGCTACCTCCTTTGTCCTTCATCAATGGTTTGGGAAGGCCGCATGCTGTCTCTGTTGAGGAAGCAGTTCACAGTCTTCCCGGGCCAGCGGACTTCACAACTCCACATGTAAAAAAAGTACATGTGCGTGTCCTACAGTTGTCTTTGGAATAGGAACACCTGCTCCATAGCAATATTCACATTGTTTTACTCCCTTCCTGAACTAGTTATTGAAAGGTTGACTGTGCCTCAGCCTCCTTATCTGTAAAATGGAGTCATCAAGAGCGGTGAGTTAACACGAACACTCGCAGGTGTTAGCTGAGCAGGTGATGGCAATGATGAAGGTGACACAGCTGCTGTCACAACAGGAAGATGTGGATTGCTCTCCAGTGCAGAACCTGCTCTTACGTCTACTGAACTCCCAATTCCCCATCCCCAGCCAGGCAGTATTTAGATGTAGAAGCAAACCTGTACAGGAGGGTAAAGAGCAAAAAATTAAAAGTTCTCATTTTTTTTCTTTTAAAAAAAAATCTTTATTGGCAATTGGTGGTGAAATGTTGATTTGTC